CCAGTAATTCTAAGTGACATTTGATGTCATTATAGTAAGCGCTCACTTTTATGTATTGACTGAGCGATATTAATCTTCCACGCTTCGGGTGGCTTTCCCGCTCATTTCCGTCATGCCTGAGTGGCATTCGCTATAACTTATTATGTACAAGTGACCGAGAATTACATTGGTAGACAAACTAACCCACAAACAGTTAAAAATTGGCTATGTTCGAGGCTATGAAGTCAGGTGAACTTAAAGCGCCAGGCCCTATGACAAGATATGATGAGCTATATATATATAGTAACATCGAGTTAAGGTGAAATAATACCTATATACCATTATAAAATATTGGGATATATGACATCACGTCGCACGCCTGTTATGATAAACGCTTTTTTAGCTAGTTCGGACACAGATTATAGCCCAATGCTGGTTACTAAGCCCGATCACTCACCGCCCCCGGATCTTCAGCATACCTATATTTTAGATCACCTCACTTGTGGAAGATATAAGGCTGCTCTTGCATTTGCAATGCTTTCCATAGCGGGTGCTGCGATCGCTTGTGAAGGGGAATCTATACACTATTAAACTCAACACACTTCCACGCACACTTAGGTTTTAAAAGCCCTTAGCTCCTTATAGATCCTTGATTTTTGAGCGAGGGACGAGCGCAAACCATGATCTGTCTGTGTGTGTTGTTTTAAAATTGGATCTAGTGCATCCATCGATCCACTGGGAACTTTTGATAGGTGAGAACAGACACAACTCTTGCTGCTGACAGACTATTCCTGTCTTGCCCTAGACGTGTGCTCTCCTTGCAGCAAAATACCACTTTAAGGTCACTCAAAGCGCTTACTAATTCCTCAGAACTGATGTCTCTCTAACGTCTATCTACGTTTTTCGACAACTACAAGTACTAGGGATTAAGTTAACCTATTTGTTGTTTCTGACATGAAATCCTGCTTTCCGACGACGAACCTATAAGGACGCAAAGCCATGTGGAATTCTGACTGCATATATTTATAAACTGATGGTTGATGGTGATATATAAAAACACATCAGCGTGAACAAACCAGACTGTTGATCCTCCCATCGCATCTCTCTACATAGTTGATAAAGGTGTGGTATCCTCACTTGTTGCGATTTCTCACTTCCGAATGTTTTTTATATTTTGCAGATACTTGTGAACTAGTCACAGGTATACAAGTTTCTTTAGTGTCATCCGTCACACTTGCCAGGGTACTTTAGCCGTCACGATAACACCGTTTCTATGTTATGTGTATAAAGAGACGACCAAGGAATGCAGTGAAGCCGAATGCCCATCGAGGGCCCTCCGCGTTCATTCCACCTTCTTATCCTTGGACGCACAGTCCGTGCTTGTTAAGGTTCAGTCGTCTTTATCAACAATTCCTGTCCATCCCCACATAAACTTCCTCAGTTGGGCCATGTATCGATTTTCCAGAGAGCCAAAAAATCAAATAAGTCACACAGAGCGATCACTAATTGGAATAGA